TGATTGAGTCCGTACCCAATTTATCCAGACAAGCGACATCCCTCCCCGGGTCCCTTCAATCGCAACGCCGACGCCCGGCCTAATCAACCACCACCCATCCGGGACGACACACCCTGGCCGCCCCGACGACAATCTCGCGCCGCTAGAACCAGAACCTGGCCGCCCTTTTTTTTCAGCCGACGAAACAGCGGAGTCGCAATTTCACCCCCGTCGACGCCCACCAAGCACCAAACAGCCAGCTCCAAGCCTCTGGTCGTCTCCGGTCCAGCGCAGCGACATTCTCTCCCAGTCGTTGTCGCTGCTGCGTCTCCCTCCCCGTCTCCGTCTCCAGAACACCCTCGCCCGTTTCTTGGCATTCTGTCCAACGCCCCGGCTTTTCCTCACCCTCGCTCCATGATAGTAGCACTATCCGTACCGCCCCTACGTCGTCTACCAGGGTCTCATTCTGCCATTCTGACGGGCCCAAGGGGGTTGGCGGCCAAGCGCTGAGAAAAATACGGATAACCCAGAGGAAACTGTGACGACGCACGCCTGCACGACACGAATATTCTCTGTACCACCAATACTACGACACGAACCCCCAAGTCCCTGACGCTCAGGAGACATCTCGTCACAACAGCCACAATTCGAATATCCCCGACCCTCTCGGCTGGCTCCTCTGCTGGCCCACGACCTTAATCCAATATGACAAGACCTCACATTATTCGCGCTGGTAAGTTTATGCGACCCAAAACACCTGCGCCTACTCCCATTCCTCCTGGCGCATCACACTATTCTCCCCCCAAAACACCAACTTCTTCCCCTTTCCCAATTGGCCCTGGGCTTCTCTGTGTCTGAGCTTAGCCTGAACCCGTCTTGGTCTAACGGCTGGAACCGCGGCCGATCAATCTCACAGAATTCCTTTCCCCCCTCTGACCAGGGAAAAAAAAAACACCCCCTAATTGCCTGCTCCGTTGCTGGCATGTCACGCTGACCTCTTGCCTCTTTTGTCGCAAAATTAGACACGATCGACCTCCAAGATCACGACGCACCCTCAGCAAAAGATCATCCCCGAGGCCCACACGGCTCGCTTGGTCCGCATCAGGCTGCGACTCTCCAAGAGATCGCCCAAGAATCCGCTGAAATACAAGCGCGCAGCCCGAGACTCTCCTTCACCGACGGCGACGACGACGACGTATCGGATTCGGACGATCTCGCGGACGAGGTCTCCAAACGGCTCAACGGCGGCGCGATGGACGATGCAAGCAAGAAACAACAGGATGCGCTGGCCATCGCGCAAAATGGAGGCACATCGGGCAACTCCGACGACGGAGACATGGACGACACAGACGAGAGCTTGGACGACGACATGATGGACAAGATCTCTAGTTCGCCCTCGATTGAAGATGGTGGGTGCAATTCGATTACAATTCCGCATTCCTGGCCGCGGAGAGTCGATTCTCTGCAAGCCATGAGAGATCGCGCTTCTCCTGTTTCCCCTGCTTTCAGCGAGGCCATGTCCTCTTCTCCTTACACCGAAACTCTTGAATATCCACCTACACAACACTCCTGGCAGCACAGCAAGGCTTCTGCGTCAGCAACCAGTCATCATCATCTTCGCGGTGAGTATAACGAATAGGACCGATATACCGACGACGACGATCGATACGACCAATTCTTCGACGAGCTTTACGAGGAGTTATGCGACGATGCTGGCGGTAGTCTCTGTTACGGAAAAGACTGGGGCGAGGAGCGGAGCGACAAGTTTGAGGATAAGCTTGGACTGGAGAGTGTAGCCCAGCATGGGCCGATAGTGGTTCGTCCACTTCGACTCCGCGGATCTAGCTCCGAGGATTTCGCGCAGCGTCGCGCTGAGATGGAGCGGGCAGAATTGGACGAGGCAGCCGAAGCAAACCTTGACGACGACCACGACGAACACGACAGCGATTTCTCGCTCATGATACCCTACGAACCCTCGATCGAAGATGATGATGACGAATTTTCCTTCTCTGATGATTCTAGGTTTATTGCTGGCGGCTGGGGCAATGAGTGCTTACACGAAGCAGAGGACATCGATTTCGAGTTCGTCTACGCCCTCCACACTTTTGTCGCGACCGTCGAAGGCCAAGCGAATGCCACGAAGGGAGATACTATGGTGCTACTGGATGACAGCAACAGCTATTGGTGGCTGGTGCGAGTGGTGAAGGACAGCAGCATCGGTACGAGCCCCGCGTCCCTTGCGTCAGCATTTCTAACAAAGGTCTAGGTTATCTCCCGGCAGAGCATATTGAGACGCCAACCGAGAGACTGGCGCGCTTGAACAAGCACAGGAATATTGACGTAGTCGCTCCCTCCCAGGAAGAGATGAACCTTTCTGACTTAGATCAGCTTTCCGCTACAATGCTTGGAGACCAAGCTGGAGAGAAGTCCAAGAGCACGTTCAAGACGGCTCTGAGGAAGAAGAAGAAGACCGTCGCGTTCGCACCACCGACGTTCGTCGACTACTCGGACATTGACTATTCTTCGGATGAAGAGGACATGGAGGAGATGTTCTCTCAACAGCAGGGACAGCAACAGCAACAGCAGCAACAACAGGCTGCTACGCAGCAGTCAACTGAGGAAGCGGAAGATGAGACGGCGAAGGTCGAGCCACTGAAGCCCAGGACGATCAAGGAAGTCAAGGTTGCGGAGCCGACCAAGAAAGAGGAGGTTGCGGAAGACGACGGGAAGCGCGATAGCGGAGAAATATTTGAGAAGCCAGAGGGTCCGAGTCGATCGAGGAACGGCACTGTCAGGAACACCGACTCTTTCTTTAAGGACGAAACGGTCGAGACCAAGAAGATCACGCTTACGCCTAACTTGCTTCGCGATGACAACAGCTCACGACCCTCGACGACGGAAAGCGTTAAGCAACGACCCAGTCTGGACAAGTTGGACAAGGAGCTGCAACCCGACAAGAAGGACGACAAGAAGAAGAAGGATAAGGATAAGAAGGAGAAGGACAAGAAGCCCAGCGCCATCCGTAGCTTCTTCTCGCGTAAGGACAAGAAGAAGGTTGTGGACGATGACGACGAGTCCTTTGGCAAGAGGTCGATGGATATTGTTACCGAATCACAAGATCGGGAGTCTGAGGAGCAGCCGTCGTCGCCGAGAACAAGCGGCGGATCTTCAGGCGGGCCGGAACGGACAGCAAGCAAGCTCACGAAGCAACAGCCTAGGGTGGAGCCATCACTGTCGAGGAAGGGAGCAACAACGCCACAAAAGTCTGCTACCCGTGAACTTAGCGAGTTCATTTCTTCTGAAGGCCGACCCAACAACGTGTCGAATGTGCCGCCTGCCTCTATGCGCATCGTTGAGGACGATTCGTCCGATGCCGACGCCGAACCGAAGGTCGAGACTAAGCACTCGCAAAAGTCGTCCTTGTCTAAGATCATGCCTTCGAGAAGCAGCGAGCCCAAGGAGCCGAAACCCCAAAAGGTTACGAAGGCCAAGTCGCGTGTGGAACTCGACGATTTCGACTCATCTGGCGAAGAGATTGACCCCAGTGGTCCCTCTGTGCAACAAGCAGCTGAGGAGGAGCTGAAGGACGAGAAGCTAGTCCGCCCCGTGCCAGGTGCTTTCCCCGATAGCTTCATGAGCGGTCAAAGTGCCCAGACCGATAGGACAATCACTCCTTCGCAACCTATGCCCCAGTCCCAGCCCACCGCTGCGGACCGGGAAAAGGAGCGCCTTTCCGAGTCGCCGGTCCAAGTGTCTCCCGTTACGACAAGCAATCCACCTGCGCTCATGGTCGATACCTCCAGTCAGGATGGTCACTCCTCATCGCCGTCGCCAGAGCTCATTGATGCTGATGAGGTGGGCAGACATCGCGCTCAAGATTCGATGACTGCCAGCTCAACCTCAACAGGAGGGAGCACCACCGGCAGCAGCTGGAATGACGCGAAGCTCCGGGCATTCTTCGACTCCAGCTCAGACATCCGCGATATGCTGGTCGTTGTGTACGACAAGAGCGATGTTGCTCCCGCAGGACCGGATCACCCCGTCGCAGGAAGCTTATTCCGCGAACAGAACGCCAAGTTGGCAGAAATCACAACAGTAAGTGCATCCATCCCTTCTTGGTCATGCGTCAAGACTAACCAGGCCCAGCAACTTGACAATATGCTTGGCGACTGGCTAGCACGCAAGCAAAGACTTCGAGGCACGGTCTAAGGCGTGCCTCCTTTACGAACATCGACTTTGTTTTTGGGGACAGCGAAATGTGTACAGTACCTTTCTTGACTTTGTTGGCGTCCTGGAACGAAACGGATGGAGGGTTTACGGATTGATGGACGACATTGAAAAACGTGGTCGCTGATATGAACCTTAGCACCATGGATACTTGTGCGCGGATTTGCAGTTTTCTGTTTTTCTTTTTGCGACATGCGTGGACATACCAGTCTGCACGGTCTGTTCTTACCTCGTTCTTTTTTATTCTCTTTTGTTTTAGAAATGCTTCGCTTCCACAGCGTCGCGACATAGGCATCAGCTTTGCATAGGTGTCTTCAGCCCGCTGGTGTGGGCTCTCCAGAGACAGATTAGGCGCAGCGCCGTCTAATACCAAATGGTTCCATCTGCAGATCCGATGACTTGCATGCTGTGCTGAACCGCTTCATGTGACTTTCGCTGCTGATCGGCACAAATTATCGTTGCAGATATATCACCAGGCGCATGTCGAGTTCCATTCCGAGTAAAACATGCAGTTGCGTGTGGTGGAACCCGACAGCAATATCCGCAGGTGATCTGCGGGATGCCGGGGTGGTGGAGTTAGCCTCCGCCCAACTGCCGGCGCGCAAATCGTCCGATCTGGGGAAGCCGGGACCCCGCATTCCCGCCCTTGCCGCTTCCCTTTCCTCCCCCCTCCGTCGTCTTTAAATACCGCCCATCCACCAGTAAGTGAGTCTGCGATCTGACCTGAGCACGTTGATTTTAGTGCCTGATTCTGACCAAAGACGACACTTCTGGACCTGCGTCAGTGAGACCCAATGGCCGGCCTCCTCACGAACATCCTCGCCTTCATCACTGGCCAATGGAGCCTCATCTCCCCGGACTGGAGGGACCCCGCGTCCCACGATCCCAGCTGGTACCGCTACGTCCGCGCCAGTAAGTCCAAGACGATCTTCCCGGCGCGGGTCTTGCCGGATCTCACGCGCGGGGACGTCGCGAACCCCTCGGGCCTGGTCACCGGCGAAGGCGGGCCGACCGTCCTCACCCGGCTCTCCGAGTCTGATGAGATCCCGTCCGTGACGGTGGACTTTGGACAGAACACCGTCGGCATCGTATCCATCTCCTTTGCCGGGTCTGAAACGCCGGACGGGAGTGGTGACGCCAGGCCCGGGATCCGGCTGGCGTTCTCCGAGACGCTGCAGTTCCTGAGTAATGTGAGCGACTTCTCGCGGTCGTATAACGGGGACACGATCACGCCTGGCAGCGAGCAGATTGCCGTCCGCAGCGAGCCGTACGTCTGGACCGCGCAGCACGGGTGCCAGTACCCGGGCGACGGCGGCAAGGGCAAGGTCTGCGTGGACGGGCTGCACGGGTTCCGGTACCTGCGGATCTACCTGGACGCGCTGCCGTCGGACACGCCGTACACGGCGCCGCGCGGGCAGGTGAAGATCGCGTCGGTGAGCCTGGCGCTGTCGGCGTTCCACGGGACGCCGGAGACGTTCCGGGGGTGGTTCGAGTGCAGCGACCGCGAGCTGACGCGGTGGTGGTTCGACGGGGTGTACACGAACGACCTGTGCATCGACACGTTCCGCGCGGAGGACATTGAGCCGCGGGACGCGGATAGCGAGTTTCTGGAGGGCCGGCTGGTGATCCACGACGCGCCGAAGCGGGACCGGGACCCGTATGTTGGGGACCTGGCTGTGGCGGCGCTGACTGCGTTTCTGTCGCACGGGGGGCTCGTGGCGGAGGCGAGCGGGAATGTGTTGGCGGATCTGGCCAGGCGGCAGAGGGGGGACGGGTGGATTCCGCCGGCGAGCATGTGAGTTTGGGGGTTCATGTTTGACGTGGAGAACAGGGTTGCTGACGGTTTGCAGAAACAATTACACGCTTCCGCTGTTTGATTACCCCCTCTGGTGGGTTGTCTGCAGCCATGACTATGTGTGGTACACCGGCGACGTGGGCTATCTCGAGACGTACTACCCGAATCTGCTGGCTGTGATGGATAAGTGGTTTCCCTCCGTCACGAACTCGGACACGGGTCTGGTTACGAAAGGGCTGAACGGGACGGGCGGATACGGAGACTACGCTTTCCTCCCAAGGCAGGGCCCGGTGACGTATTACAACGCTCTATACGTGCTCGCCCTCCGGCGGGCAGCAGAAATGGCGGCGCAACTTGGGAAGACGGCCGATCAGGAGAGGTGGAACTCGCGCGGGGATGATGTCGCCAAGGCGCTGGCCCAGAGGAACTTTGACTCGAGCGTCGGCGCATTCTACGACGGCACGACGGGGGCGGACTCGGACGAGTACGTGGCCGCGCACGCGCAGGACGGCAACAGCATCGCCATCCTCGCCGACGTCGTATCCGGGGACAAGGCCAAGGGCGTGCTGGCGTACTACGCCCGCGCGGCGTCGCGGGCGTACGGCAACGCGTTCTACGACTCGGACGCCGTCGGGCAGGGGTTCAGCCAGCGGGTGTACGCGTTCGTGTCCTACTTTGAGCTCGCGGCGCGGCTGAAGGTCGACGACGGGGATGGCACGGCGGAGGGCGCGGTGGAGGAGATGAAGCGGCTGTACGGGTGGATGGGCGGGCAGGACCCCGGGGTGACGTTCTGGGAGGGCATCGGGCCGGACGGGCGGCCGTATGAGGACGGGTACACGAGCATGGCGCACGGGTGGAGCACGGGTATCGTGCCGCTGATGAGCTCGTATGTGCTCGGGGTGAAGCCGACGAGTCCCGGGTTCAAGACGTGGAGCGTGATGCCGGTGAGGGCTGGGTTGAGGTGGGCGAGGGGTGTTGTGCCGACGCCTGAGGGGCAGGGGGTTGGGGTCGAGTGGGTTGATGAGGGCGGAGGGAGGTTTAAGATTGCCGTTCTTGCGGAGAGGGGGACCAAGGGGGTTGTTGGTGTACCTTTCGAGGAGGGGATGGTGGTTGAGGTTGATGAGCGGGTTGTGTTTAGTGGGAGAGTGAAGGAGGGGAGGGTTGAGGGCAAGAGGGTCGTGGTTGACGTCGAGGGGAAGGGATGGGAGACCAGGACCGTCGTGACAGTAAGGGCGATTGCAGAGGGACTTTAGGTAATAATTTTCTTACGGGTTCAAACCCCCTCAGTGTCTATAGCTTTGACTGTCTAGTAAGATTTACATGAATGGCTTTAATGTTTGAATAGGCAGTAAGACCGGCCTCACCCAGTTCCCTACCGATTCCGCTTTGCTTCACACCGCCAAACGGGATGCGCCAGTCGCTGTCGTTGCTCGAGTTGATCCACACCATACCAGCCTCGATTCTCTTGGCCACGGCATGGGCGCGGGTCAAATTTGTGGTGAATAAAGCGCTTCCGAGGCCGTATTGCGTATCGTTGGCGAGAGCGATGGCGTCATCTTCCGACTTGAACCGGCAGATGACAACAAACGGGCCGAAGACCTCCTCTTTGAAGATTCTCATGTTGGGTGAGACCCCCGTGAACACCGTGGGTTCGATGAAGTACCCGCTGCCGTCAGGCCTGGACGGACGGCCTCCCAGCTCCAGCTTCGCGCCCTCCTGCTTGCCAATGTCGACGTAGGAGAGGATCCTGTCGAACTGCGCCTTTGTGACTTGCGGTCCTTGGAACGTGCTCTCCTCGAAGGGGTCGCCGACTCTAGAGACCTTTTTCACTTGTTCTCTAAACGCCGCTAGGAATTTGTCGTACACGGCGTCCTGAACCAAGATCCTCGACGTTGCGGTGCAAATCTGGCCCTGGTTTGACATGATACCGGCGTGGGCCCAGTGGACGGCGACATCTAGGTCGGCGTCATCAAACACGATGAGAGGGCTCTTTCCGCCCGTCTCAAGCGTGATGTTCTTCAAGCTATGGCTTGCCATTTTCATGATTTCCTTGGCCGTGTTGGTAGAACCGGTGAATGCGATCTTGTCGACGTCCAAATGGGACGCGAGAGCTGCGCCTGCGACGGCTCCGAGACCATTTACGATATTGACCACGCCCGGCGGGAAGCCTGCCTCGATCACGAGGTTGGCAAAGTATAAGATGGAGAGAGGGGTCTGCTCTGCCGGCTTGAGGACGACTGTGTTACCGCAGGCCAGGGCGGGGCCCAACTTCCATGCGGCCATCGCGAGGGGATAGTTCCAGCTGTGGATAAAAGTCGTTAGCCATTTGTCTTCAGGATGATCCTCGCAATAGCGTAGGGCTAGGAGGGGGAAGAGGTGTTCTCACGGAATGATCTGGCCGCAAACTCCAACGGGCTCGCGGACAGTGTAGGCGAACTTCTCGGGCGTCGTCTCAATCACCTGCCCAAACACCTTGTCGGCGAAGCCGCTGTAGTACCTCAGCGTCTCGATGGCCTCGGTGAGATCCTCGTTGAGCGAGACCAGATACGGCTTGCCGTTGTCCCACGTCTCGATCGTGGCCAGCGTCTCGCGGTGCTGCTCCATCAGATCGGCGAGGCGCGCCATGAGCTTGCCGCGGTCTGAGGCAGGCAGGTCTCGCCAGCTCGGGTGGTTGAGGGCTTTCCGCGCTGCTTGTACGGCTCTGTCGACATCTTGGCTGGTCGCAGCGTGGACGGATGTGATTTCTTGCTCGTTTCTGCGCCGAATGTGTTAGTCGAAAGGATGAAAATGCTTCCTGCTGGATACAAGAATCTTACGTAGGGTTGATACTGGCTATTTTCCCGCCGTCAGAAGACCCAACCCATTGGTTGTTGATAAACAATCCTGTTGGTTGGAGGTAGGTCCTCCCATTGGGGGCAGTGAGCTTTACGGAAGCCATATTGTGGGTGGTGGTAGATGCGATGCAAGATATCCGAGTAAGTCTGTCCCCAAGAAGTAGCTTTCTCATAAACGAGCTGCCGCAGGGCCGTGCAATTGACTTTGATACTGCTCAGAACCCAATGCACAGGATCCCCGGATTTTCAATGCCGGCTCCTTGGACTCTAGATCGGCACTGTCGGTTACCCATCAAGTCACACGATGCATATCGCCGCTCCGCCCACGAGGAGGGGCAACCCGGCCCGGTATCTATCCCACCGGTGCGGAGGGCAATGAGTATGGCGCCTGCAATTAGCTCTGAATTAGATTCTCATGATACATTTTGGTCTATCGTGTTCGGGGCCAAGAACGGATCTTGGTGCAGGTACTTCTCGATGATTAATGCTGTCCGGTGAATTAGCGTTTATCATGATGAAATAGGAAAGAAATTTGGCCAGACTGTAACCTTGAAACTTGCCGTCCTCCTCGACTCCACCTGCCAGGGTTCTAGCTCTAGCTCACCGAAGCTCGGCCGACGTGGGCAAGGATTCTGCTGCCGCACAACCGCTTTGACAAGCAGACGGCGCGATGCTGAAAAGGGAAAGAATTTGGGCCAGATTCGAGTGGTGTCCATTCTCTCCAATCTCTCCGCACGAGATCGACTTTTCCCACTTTCCGGCTGACATCCCGCGGCAAACGGCCTATCCACCCCCAACTGCGAACCAACAGTGCAGCCGCGAGGAGTCCCATTCAGCTCTCAGGAGCTTCCACATTGCTGATACAAGCTTTTCTGGTGGAGACCGCCCAATCTTCCTGTATCTGCGCGGCTATATTTCCTGTGTACTTGCTTACTCTTGTTAGAGATAATAGTAGCGACGACGACGAAGACGACGATAACGATAGAAGCGACAATAATAGAAGCGACGACGATAGAAGTAACGACGACGACGGTAAAGTAGAGCATAGCCACAGGAAAACTAGCCGGCCGCTTCGTGAATACGAAAGAGGAGTTTGGGCAAAGGATCTGGTGGAGACGTAGTTTTGATCTGTGAATACCCTCGAGGCACAATATGCCCAAGGCTTTTTGCAAGATAACAAAGACAGAACATCCAGAGTACAGCGAGCAAAATGATCCTGAGCTTCACAGATAATGCTTCCTCACAAACCACAAGCTCAATGTCAGGGGTCAAATCAATATTCGATGTCAAAAAGACTGCTTCAGTCCAATAACACATACAATGCGAGCAGCTTCGGTTTCATTCTCTCTTAATTCCAGTGATCTATCCGTACTCTTGTATCATGGTTTTCCATTAATATTTCAGCGTGAAAACTACAGCTCTTCTGCCTTATCAGGTCACCCATGCAAAGCGGAGCTGCCATGTGGGTACAAAGGGGAAATCACTATCAGTTCGTCCAACTACGAATAACTCACTTGGCTCTGGTGTGGTTAGGCTGAACTGCCTGTTGTAGTCGACGTCCGGGCCGGGCTAATAACGTAACTGACTCGACACGACTGGCTCTCCCAAATCCGCGGTTCTACCCCACGATTTGAAACTGTCAACTCTTCCAACTCGTACGTAATGAGATCCAGCCCATGCTATCTGCAAAATCCGGGGTACCAACGTCATCTTGTGATGCAGTCTTCACGACGGGAGGACTACCGACGCAGTAACGGAAATGCAGGAATGAATATCTTGGGCAGGTATCGACGAGCAAAGACAGCATACCCCGCCGACCACCGACCGGGCCGTGACCATGATGTGTGGAAGACGTTGCCCAATGACTTGTCAACACACATGATCAGCAGGGACAGAACGAGACTTGACAATATGAGCAACAGTTCCGATACGTCCTGAGTTCTCCGCATCGAGTTTTAGGAGCTACGACACCAGCGAGCAAAAGTTGAAGAATACATGCGGCTTTTAATGAGATTGTGATCCAGCTTCTTGTTACGTTGCCACACCCAGCGCCTTATCAGTCAATGCCACGCCCCGGGGGGGAACCATCAGTCATTGCGCATCCATTCCTTGTTCCCGTCCCATCCTTGCAGTTGATATAAAAACTATTCAACACCAACGCGCACCCTCCCATCTCAAAGCCATCAACCAGCATACCTCTCTCGTTGCAGAACACAATTGCGAATGTTATCCCACAAACGTTTTCCAATCACCCCGAAAATCCCCCCTATCGAAAGAAGTTATGGATAACGACCCCGAATCGAACCCGCCGCTGAAGCACCTACACACCACAGACCAGGCCGCCCAAGATGCGCAGGACCTCGCCTACCTCGGCCACGACCAGGCCCTCTCGCGGAAGTTTAGCACCATGAGCATGCTCTTCCTCGCCATGTCCGTCCTCGGCACCTGGTCGACCTTTGCCCAAGGCCTCTCGAGCGGTCTCACGAGTGGCGGGCCCATCGCCATCCTCTGGGGCCTCGTTCTCGTCACCTTCTGCAACATCTGCGTCGCCGTGTCGCTGGGCGAGCTGTGCAGCAGCATGCCGACGGCCTTGGGACAAGCGTACTGGATTTTCCGTCTCTCGCCGGGTCCGCTAGGCCGGTTCATGTCCTACCTCTGCGCCTGGATCAACACCTTTGGGTGGTGGACGCTGTCCGCCTCGCAGCTTGCCTTCATGACCAACTTTATTCTGAGCATGAAGGTTCTCTTCGTCAATGACTGGGCCGGGGCTGGGGTCGGATGGATCAACTTCCTGCTTTATATCGCCGTCACTCTGGTGGTAACGGTCGTCAACCTCATCGCTTGCCGGAGAGATGCTATCCTCCCCGCCTTTAACAACTTCATAGGCATTTGCTTCATTGGGCTCTTTTTCGTTTTCAGTCTGGCGCTCCTGATTTCTGTGGGCGTGAAGCCGGACCTGCATTTTCAGCCTGCTTCGTTTGTTTTTGGACAATGGATCAACCAGACCGGCTGGGGAGACGGTGTTACCTGGTTCACCGGCCTCGTCCAGGCTGCATATGGGCTCACTGCCTTTGACTCAGCTGTCCACCTTGCCGAGGAAATCCCCGCACCTCGCAAGAACATTCCCCGCGTTATCTGGCTCTCGGTCGTCCTTGGAGCTATAACTGGGTTCATTTTCATGGTATGCTGTCTATTTAGCATCCAAGACCTCGACACCGTCTTGAACCCCGTCACCGGTCTACCCTTTATGGACCTTCTTAATGAGGCTCTCGGGCTTCAAGGGGCTACAGTGCTCCTATCTCTGTTCATCTTCAACGGCATGGGTCAGGCTGTCAGCATTGTTACGACCGCTTCCCGTCTGACTTGGGGCTTCGCCAGAGACGGCGGTATTCCATGGAGCCCCTATTTCTCCAAGGTTAACGAGAGCTGGAGGGTACCAGCACGCGCCTTGTGGCTACAGGGCGCCATCATCGGGCTCGTCGGCGTCCTCTATACATTTGCTTCTACGGTTCTCGAGGCGATCCTGAGTGTCAGTACGATCGCCCTGACCGTCTCCTACGCGATGCCTATTATAACAGTTCTCCTTGTCGGCCGCGATAAGCTCCCGCCTGGAGAGTTCAGGCTGGGGCGGCTTGGCCCCGTCATCAACTGGATCTCGGTCATCTACTGCGCCATTACTACCGTCTTCTTCTTCTTTCCTTCAGAGCCTAGTCCGGCGCCGGCCGATATGAACTATGCAATTGCCGTGTTCGGAGTCATGATGGTGGTGACGCTGGGCTTCTGGGTGGTCAAGGGGCGGTATACGTATCTGCAAACTGCGGATGCTGAGGTGCGGATCATCGAGGCGCAGAATGCCGAAGTTCAGACTTCTTCTGTTCCTCGAAAGAATTGATGGATTCTAGAGATACATTATCCTTCTTTAATTTTAGTCTTCACACAATCAAATTCACTCGTGGTACCATTCCATTTGAACTCATCTGACCGATTCCCTACCATGAACGTGATGAAGCTCTAGATCTTGTAACCAGTCTTGGACATGAAGATGTGAATGGTCTCAATGGAAGAAAGATCTCAACACTCAAGCTACTCCATGTCTAGACTTTTGGCAACTCGGTTCCTCTCGACAGCAGGGGGCGGGCGCCCGTCCCGATGCCGCTCCGATGAAGGTGGGGACGTCGCCTACGGGCTTGGCTCGGGGGCCCCCACCGTTCCGTTAGCGTGTCAGACTAAGATAAATACCCTGCCGAATCAGCCGCTTCTTCAGGGGATCTGCATGGTCGATTTTCTTTCCCGATGCAGCAGGTCCACCCGCCAATGAGCTTACACGACGAGACCGCCCTGGATCACTTCGCTCTTGTCTCGTGTCGTATCGCCCTTGATTGCATTCGCATTTTGGGCTGAAAAAGCGGCCGGCAACAGTGCCGGTTGACTCTCCGGTCCGGTTCTAGACTCCGAGCGCCGCTGCGCGGAGGCGCTGCAGCGCGAAGCCTGCAGGGACTAGATCTCTCTTCTGAGGCGCGCTCCACCAGCAGAATGGAGCGGGGAGGGGCGGACAGCGCCGACCTCAGGGTTCCGTTCCGAGTGTTCGAGATGTTGGTTCCGATGAAAAACACGAGTCTATCAAGACAATCTGTTGTCGTTTGGGGTCATTCGGGTTTCCAACTGATCTCAACTTATTCCGCTCATAAATAAATCAATATTGTAGACGTTTTAAAGTCTTTTTTATGGCAGAAAGTCCTCGGACGCGATGCGAATGTCACTCGGTGTGCCTGTGTGGGGGAAGTTGTACATGAGTCGCAGGGATGGGGACCGATGGCAGGCGGATGAGGGACCAGGGTTGGTGGAGGAGAAGAGCGGATGACGATTGGATCGCGGTGTAAGAAGCGGTGATTCTAAGCTGAGATTGCCCAGTCGAGTTTATCTTACGTTTGATGTCAGAATAATTTCGGCGGTTGCTGAGGCTAACCCTCGTACGACTGTTCCCTATCCCCCGATATGCCGGTGCCACTTCCTGTCTATAAGTACAAGGTGTCCGCGATTGATCTTTGACGAACTCACTTTCTTCTCCCCAAGAATTCAAACAAACAAGTCGTTTGCCTTTTCTACTCACCAACATTTTGTCTTGTCCACAGACAGCTTTGAGCCTTCAGGCCTCACCTCACCTTATACCAACCATCCATCATCGACCTTAGGTCGAATTGCAAAGACCACCGTATGGCCGAGTACCTCAGCCCAGACAGCCCCCAATATGTTTGCAGACACCTCTTCGATAGCCGGCTACACGATCTTCCGGGAAGATCCCAGCGACGCCGCTCCAGACGTATCCTCTCAGTCTTCATCACATCCTCTGGGTAGGTCTCCTGGCAATGAACCACGGTGTTAGACACTCGTCATTCTTGAGCTAACCATCGCTTCCCTCCAGATCAGCTATCGATTGAAGAGATTCAGCGCGCTGCTAAACTCATCAAAATCCATGCTGGCACCAAGGCCCTCAAGTTCAACTGTCTGACTCTGCGCGAACCCAAGAAGAATGAGTACGCTGCCTTTAAGTCCGGCAACGGCCCCCGCCCGGACCGCCGCGCCTTCGCCATCGTCATCGAAAAGGGCACTTCTCAGGTCTCCGAGGTCGTCGTCAACCTGAAGACCTCCAAGGTCGAGCTCTGGAAGGATGTCTTCGACGCCGCACCCACCCTCACCTTGGAGGACCTCGACATCTGCGAGTCGGTCACCCGACAGGACCCTCGCGTCATCCAGGCTTGCCGCGAAATCGGTATCTACGATATGTCGAAGGTCTTCATTGACGCGTGGGCCATTGGATTCGATCACCGCTGGGGCACCGACCGCCGTCTTCAGCAGGGAATTGTCTACTATCGCAATTCCCCTGATGATAATCAGTACGCCCACCCGCTTGACTTCTCAGTCGTAGTCGATACCGAAAAGGCCGAAGTCCTGGCTGTCGATATCCGACTCGTGAATGGCCAGCGGACCAAGGTCCCTCTGGAGGAGCATAACTATTTGCCCGAATTCATCGGCAAGGGTTACCAGAACAAGCTCAAGCCCATCGATATCACTCAGCCCCAGGGCGTCTCGTTCCAAGTTCATGGCAGCGAGCTCTTCTGGGCAGGACTGAAGATGCATGTTGGCTTCAACTACCGCGAGGGTATTGTTCTTTCTGACGTCCGCATTGACGACGAGGGGCGTGAGCGGAACCTCTTCAACCGCATCAGCGTGGTCGAGATGGTCGTTCCCTACGGCAACCCGGACCCTCCCCACCACCGCAAGCATGCCTTCGACGTGGGCGAATATGGTACGGGCTTCATGACCAACTCCCTCAAGCTTGGTTGTGATTGCAAGGGAGTCATCCACTACATGGACGCCATTATGGCTGTGGGTACGGGAGAGGCAGCTATCGTGAAGAATGCCATCTGTATCCATGAAGAAGACAACGGGCTTCTGTACAAGCATACTGACTACCGTGACGGTACCGTTATTTCCGCCCGCGACCGCAAGCTCATCATTTCCCAAATCATCACCGCTGCGAACTATGAGTACTGCTTCTACCACACGTTCCTCCTGGACGGTACCTACAAGCTGGAAATCAAGCTTACGGGCATGCTCAATACCTATTGCATGCACCCCAGCGAGACCGCGGCACCGTTCGGCACGGAGGTGGCCCCGGCCATCAACGCTCATAACCATCAGCACATCTTTTCCCTCCGCGTCGATCCCGAGATTGATGGTCCTGGTAATACTGTCGTGCAGAATGACGCTGTCACTGCGGATGATCCCCTCGGCTCTGCTGGAAATCTGTACGGCAACGGCTTCTACTGCAAGAAGACGCCTATCCAGACTGCCTCCGGCCATGAGTACAAGCATGAGACGGGCCGCTCTTGGGACATTATCAACCCCAACATCATGAACCCCGTGGCGAAGAAGCCGGTCGCCTACAAGATCCTCAACAACAATTGCCCAGCCCTCCTCGCCAAGCCGGGAAGCATGATCTGGAAGCGTGCCGCCTTTGCCCGCAAGGCGCTGTGGGTTACCCCGTACAAGGACTATGAACTGTTCCCCGCGGGTGATTATGTGTGTCAATCGAGCGGCGAAGAGGGGCACCCCTACAACGAGACCGTCGTCGACTGGGTGAACAGGAACGAGTCGGTTGAGAACACCGATATCGTCTGCTATGTGCAGTTCGGCCTGACGCACTTCCCGCGCACCGAGGATTTCCCCGTGATGCCGGCCGAGCCCGTCGGCGTCATGATCAGGGCGTCCAACTTCTTCAAGAAGAACCCGGCGCTCTGGGTGCCTCCTTCGGTTGTGGCGGTCGACAAGACTTCCAAGAATGCATTCGCGAAGTCTGAGGCCGCTGAATCTTGCTGCGGCAGCAGGGAGAGTAAGCTGTAGAGGATCTGAGTTGGGAGACCCAGATTGGTAATCTCGTGCCGTTGCCTTCGTTCGATTAGTTTAGCAGTCTTTTCCGAAATTCAAATCCAGTGCCACTTCTCATCATTATCGTGCTTCAAATGCTCTTGGTGCTTGTGCCGTGCCTGATTTGGGCTTCATGATGCTTCGAAGAACCCGAGTGGTTTGCGATTACGTGATTCCATCAGATAAAAAAGTGTCATTGGACCGAGATCTCGGGGTCGTCATTGCTTGTTGGCTAATGTGCCGAGAATCCGCCCGCGAATCTTTACTCCACTATCCGCCTGATAAGCCGTTTGGGCGTCCAATCTTCCCTTCGTCCAGGGTGTTTCGGTGCCTGCCAACCCAACCCAATGCCCACCTACCCTGCTACCGGAATCTGGGGTAGGTGCTCTCGCCTAGAGCCGTTCTAGAACCATGTTCCTCTTTCTCTCATCCTCCCATCTTCACCACCTACAGTCGAACGGAAGACATTTGGTTTTTCGCTTTTCGACGCAGCTACTGCAGGGATTACTGAGTGAAACCTTCCTCTCAGTTCATATCGTCGCCGTCCCCTTCAATACATCCTTCAATTGCGGAAACCGCACTGTCGCTGCCGCATGCGAGGGGAATTGCCAATTGAACAATCAACTTTGTCGTCGACCTCGAAGGAGAGCTCGATGGTTATGGAGCATGTGAGTTCGACCCAACAGACCTACTGACAAACCATCTGCTTCAATATGTCCGCATGCTAAACAAAATCACTTCAATAGACTTTGCTACTCGTCAACGCCAGCCGCAACGTTCGAATGCACAGAGAACCCAACGTCTCGTTCCACTTCGGTATCAAGCGCAAGTGCATGACCAATTGCCAAGAAGAAATCGTTGCGTACCATGCCGGTTAAACGGGTCAGGATCGTCAAGGGCTCTTGCTGGCCCTGCAAGAAGCGCCGCATCAAATGCGACCTCTCCAAGCCAGCCTGTCTACGCTGCGTTTCTTCCGGCGCCACGTGTGACTACAACAGCCGACTGATACGATGGAGTTCCCGGCCGAGTCCTCATATGCTGTCTCCGTATAGCATTCCGCGGAACGACCTGCATCTGACCGTGTCGATCGACGTATGCGAGCGGCGTGCTCTCGACTACTTTCACTGTCGCGTCTGGCCCCTCCTTTCTGCTTCAGAGGAACCTTGCGTCCCCCCAACCCAGGTCGCCTTGGAATACCGAGTCGTGTTACTTGCCACTTGCGTGCTGTCCGAATCTCACCGGCTGTTACAAGACGGTAAGCATGCCCGCGATGTGCTCTGCAAGAAGCGGGTCGAATGCCTCTCTGCCGTGCGGGCCGAGATAGAAGGTTGCTGTGCCGACGCGCAGGGTAATGAGCCTATGATCGGGCTTCTGTTCGCAGTCATGCTGCTGTACTTCGACGACGGATATATGAGCTGTATCCTCAACTCAGCATCGACCTCTAGCCATTACAGTGGTATCCTGGCTATTCTCGAGCGTCTGGGTGGCATCGACGCCGTGATACAGACGGCTGCCGAGCCGCTGCACATGCTGATCTCGGAATTTGCGACAACAGATCTCACAACATCCATGATTCAAGGAAGGCCTCCTTGCTTTGCCCCCGAAGTGTGGGATCTTCTTGATCGGGGCCCGGTTTGGTGGGGCCGTGACCCTTTGGGTAGATGCTCTCTCGCGTCCGTTTTTCGCGAGATCGCAAGTATGAGCCAGTACCTGCAGGCAACGGCTGAGATGACTGAAGAGTTGTCGATGGAGCGCATCCACAAATTCGAAGCTGCCCTCCGCCCCGTATACGCGCCCCCGTCCCTCGAGGAATCTGATGGTCGTAGCCCTTCAGAGTTATCCGAGTCCTCTTCCGTCATTGAGGCGGAAGCTACACACGCGTTTACCCTTGTCCGCATATTCCAGCACGCCGCCTTGCTGTACCTGTACAGAGCCATATGTGGTCTTCCAACTCTTCACCCACTTGTCCAGCAACATGTCAAGTCCTGCCTTGCCTGTATCTTCGAAATTCCCAAGGAGGCGAAGGTCCGCAACTGCATTATTTTTCCGTTGTTCGTTGCAGGAGCCCATGTCAAATGTCCAGAGGAGCAGAGGTCCGTTCTAGGCATGGCTGATGTGGTTTACGACGGAATGCGCTTTGCTTCGATTGAGGCCGTGAAGTCCGTCTTCAAAGCGGTCTGGTCGTCCAACTCTGATACGTCCTGGTTAGAGATGTTCAGATATCTAAGTCCGAACGCTTTAGTGCTCTAAGACGTCGATGAAACTTACTACGTTCTTTAGAAGGGTGGAGGAGGTCAGTCTCGAAGAAATAAGGGTGGTGGTTGATGTCGAGGGAAAAGGACAGCAGACTAGGACCGTCGTGACAGTTGGAGTACTCTAGCCGTAGACTTCTTCCCGGGTGTGTCAATGCTGCTTTCAAGGAGTATTATCACAATTTGAGCCATATTTGGATAAAAATGCGAGTTCGCGGTGTCAGTTGGCTATCCGGGCAGTGTCTACACACGCATGTACTTCCGTATATCTTGCCAGACCCCCAACGCTAAAGCGACTATATTTCCTATATCCTTGCTTCCTTCATCATTATCGTCGTCGCCATCGTCGTCCTTATCGTTTTCCATACTGCTATCTTCCTTATAGAAGTATTATATCTGGTATAGTGGAAACTGCTCGGATATCCAACTGACACTGCCTGGCTAGCGAGACTTAGAAATGGGCCTGGAAGATTCCAAGCTGCTGAAAAGGGCGACATCTCCCATCCATTTGCGAAATGCGGCAAGCTCTTCAGATCTTGTTGGGCACTTGCTCATCATTGCTGTCGGAATGCGTAAGCTATTCCTTCCGCCCCTTCCCCCAATCCTTCCACTCGTAGTTCGGTGCGCGGCGCGGATCATGATGCATTGCAAGCCACGGGGCCAAGACCACGAATGCCAGCGATATCCCGAACATCCACTCCATGAGTTCTGTCTGGCGCTTGTGCACATACTTCAACGTGTAAAGAGTGTAACCGTACAAGGCCGTCAAGAGGACTAAGAGAAACAAACAGAAGCTCATGGCGGCGCCTTGGCGGCACTGGAGTCGAGGCGAGCCAGGGGTGAACCAGCCGTATCGATCGGGGATGCGGAGAACCGAGGATTGGATATGGTATCCTCGGGCAGCGACGGCTAGGTAGGTGGGGTTGAGCTGGCCATGGATGATTTCTTTGAAGGGTGCGTTTCGGAGTTTGTCCCTGAGAAGGCGGTCCATTTTGGGAGTTGGTGGGTGTGTGAAGGTATCGACGTGGAGGCCGTAACACAAGAAGACTATGTGTGCTTATGGTTGATTTGAAGACGGAACGTTAAGATGGCTAATACGTCGTCTTTGGAAGTGGCCAGACAGTTATCAAGGTTACGTCTGGGCTGCCTTCAGTTCTTCGCCGTGGCCAAAAGGGTGTAAGTTGAGGGGACACTCAGCATGACTTTCGCAGGAGCCAACTACCTCTTAAGCTGGGAGTCTAAGTTCGTAGACTTGGCAACATTTGAAACTAATTCCAGAGTCTCTGCAATATTTCTAGCGCTTTGAAGAGACTTCTGCTAAAGCTTTGAGTTGGTTGTGGTTCACGATGGGAGCCATCGCGGTGGGGTCAAAAAGGTGGACAAAAGAGGAGAAACACCAAAAACATACAACACCGGGCATTCGCCAGTCGTCACCGACCTGACTACTACTCCGGCCCTCATTGGCTTATCTATGGGAGAGCGGACGGGATCCCGAGTTTTCCAATGGGTATGGTCGTATGTGCCGATTTGTGAAGGTCAAGACAGTTATGTACCTCGGTAGAGCTACGTCGAGCTCCGACGGAAGGCAGGCAACACAGCCAGGCATTGGGTTATTTCTGTTGAAACTAGGGCGTCTATATTCTAATTGAGTTCAAGATTGTCTATATCGTTGAAATGCAAGAGAAGACCCATGCTGCGTGTTGAGGTAGTTGTCCCTTTCGTAGAAACGAGACATCCATGGATACGGCAGCGAGTACCACCCCCTGATCTTCGACTGTGTTTTGTTGGAGGTCAATCAGCACATTTATTTGAGAATTTCAATCGCAAGGGAAATTTCTTTGTCTATTCAAACAGAACAGTAAACCCAGTGAGATTGTTTGGGTGGTTGTTGTTTCTAACTTAGAGGGATGAAGAATTGAGGTTGACTTTCCCTCTTCATCTTTAGGCTGGTCTGCATCTAACCTATTGAAAACCCAGTATTTCCTCTTGAACAGTTCCGTCCCGTAGACTCTCAATAGCCTCGCCCTTCATCAGTCCTTGGACATATGATTCACCCACGAGAGCCCATGACGACCCGCGCTGTCTGATTACATAGGGCACGCCACTTCCCGGAACTACAGCTATTGTGTCTCTGACTTGAGTCTCTGATGGCCCGATAGCCATTCTACCTGAAGAAGTCACAAGAAAAGATCGATCAAAGCAGTAGTTGACAGCCAATGCGGCGTACTCCCTGGGGATCCCGCCGATTGAGTGCTGACGCAGACGATTCAGAAAGTCTTTGTTGAGGCTGCTGACGCCAGCAATGAGATCGTTCTGAGTCTCAGAGATAACTTCATATATGAATGCCAGGCCATCTTTGATGCTCTGTATGAAATCTCTGCCTCCTAGCCGATGCTGATCGACGGTTGTGACTTTGATGAGGTGAATCACCCACTCCAGGGTGCCGTCTGCTATTCCCGTTGACATCAAGAACTTCAGGAGTCGCACTGTTTGTGATGTGAGATGCTCCCAGTCCAACTGCTTCCCAAAGTTTTCTGTGGCGAAAGACATTGCTTGCTTAACGCAGTCTATCCTGATTCCGTTGACCCTAAGAGTTGAAGGATTCGTCGGCGGATGAAGCTTCAAACTCAGGCCTGTTGTCGCGGAGTAATGATCGGGAAAGCCCAGCTGCGCCTTTTTGTATGTGTCCGCATAATCAACCCATGCCAGACTTGTCCTAATGTCCCTATTGAAAACTTGAAAATCACTCCAGTCAGGGGCCCACGTGGGAAGGTCTAACCGGTGTTGTCGTTTCTGGCCCGTCAGACTTCCGTCTACTCCCCGGGCTCGTGTCAGCAGTGCTAATGAGGAGCCTTCGTTGAGTACGTATCGGGCAACCTTGAGGTACACCTCAGCCACTGAAAGACTGTAGTCAGGACGTAATGAGTCGGGAAGACCTGGTGGATCTCGAGATTCGGCTGCCAGTCCCAGCAGACCATATATCTTGTCTCTCTGATCGGTGGCGTGAAACTTGATCTGCGTAATGGACATGAGCGCGTTCAGCGGCCAACTACTTCTCGATCTCCGGAGATTACACATCATCTCCACGTTGCGCATTTCTTCTGGAATGTGGGAAGGCCTCATGAACCCGTTACGGCGAAGCCAGGTAGCAACCCATCCGAGACGACTCCAGCTGTAGCTGTGTTCACCGTGTAGAATGATGGGGTCCTGGGGTGAAAGGACAACTTCTTGAACAACCCAGATTCTAGAAAACCATCTAAGCTCCAAGAGATGTCGCAGATGCTCCCAAACTTTGTCTTCCCAGCTAGGAAGCCCAGACAATGAGTGCGATAGCTCTGAATACATCCTGATAGGTGTCTCATCTATGCTTGTCGCCAAGGGATACCCAGATCTGAAGATGTCGTGAATTTTATCCACGAACTGCCATGCCTCCGAGGATGATTTTGAGCCCGGGCCAAGCCAAATGATTGTTCTAATCGACTGAGAATATATTTTGTTCATCAGGCTTACTTGAGAAGATCGCTCTTGTGTGTCTTGTTGGTTTATACAGAGTGTGTCAACCCATACATACTCAACATGAGGAAGTAGATCTCGGGTGATCGTACGAAGATTGCGAAGCTTCTGTACGCCAACTCCTAAGCTAGTAGACAGCGAAAAAGGTCGACCATCAATACGAATAACAAAAACGTCGGTTTGCTGCCCCCAACAGTGGCTCAAAGCGTAATAGGATGGGGCCGTGTCGAAAGTTACAGTTGTAAGGCTTCCCACGTCTTGACCCGAAGTGTTTGAATGGAGACGAAGGAGTCTTATAGTGTTCGGTGATAAACCGTTGTAAAGACCGGTGTTGTTATCACTCATGGTGAAATCGTTACTTGCTGCCCGATCAGGAGTCCTAAAGCCAGTGTGGGTGAACATTGACGCGTGGGGTTTTCTGACTAAACGCCTTCAAAATCCATGGATTTGTAATGGCAGGTGATTTCAGGCGTTGACACCAAGGTGAAAGTACATACAGTTATCTGTTCCAAACGCAGCTGTGTTGATTGCTGCAGAGACTTGCAGGTCATGTGGGTGACCCTTGGCGTCAGCGTCGGAGGCTATGTTTATCCATTTAAAATCTACTTCGTTGAACATCAGAGCATGATTGGCCTACGAAACGTGTCAGCCTTGAAATTCTGGCCTTGGGCATCCAAGCATAAAATAAAAAATCGAACGCCCAAGTGAGGCTTTTTGGGGGCGCCAGAAGTTGTGATGGGTTCCCTTCGTTCTTCATCGCCTTCCATCCGTCAACGAAGAAGCTGTCAAAGTCATTGAATTTGAACTTCAGGCAAGATAAGAACTACTCGATGTGTCGTTAATTCGATGATTTTGAATTCGTTGGTCATAGCCGTGCCATGGGTCAGGAAACCGACCAAAGCGAGTCGCTGAGAGTTGGGGGGTCACAAGCGAAGCGTGTGCCACGAGTATATGGTTTGCAGCAGCTGTATCCTGATCCCAGCGATGAAACAGCGACCATCGAGAAGAAGATAGAGTGAGTTTAATTCCAACGGGTGGTGTGTCTGAATAAGCTCATAAGACGCAGTATCATCGTCCTTCATGGGTTGGCCGCGCAGTCGCCCACTACTTGGCTCGCCTGGAAGGAGGATGGTGACCCCACGTCTGGCAGCATCAACTGGCTCAGTGATAGCAATATGTTGCCATCAGAGATTCCGGAAGCCAGGATCTTGACATATGATTGGAATGCAGACTACGACAAAGACGCCTCTAGCGATATATTTCTTGGTCATGCCGATGCACTCCTAGACAGAGTGCATACGAACAGAAGTCTCACGGTTCGTCCGGGCGTCACAACGATAGTAGCTTGGCTGGTCTAATTTCTTGACAGAAAAGGCTCCAGCGTCCGATCATATTCATAGCCTCCTTCTTTGGAGGCCTATTGCTTGCGAAGGTATGTAATACTCCCTTGTAATATCGTCAATTATTTGATCTTACGAGCGTAACCGTGTGCACGAAGTAGAGGCTGACGCCGAGGTTCTTTGAAGGCCATTGTAAGAGCCACTAGTATTCACGCGTTTGGTAGTCCAGAAAACCAAGAAATCTTGCGTTGTGTTGTCGGTGCCTTTTTCCTTGGAACCCCGTTCAATGGTAGCTGGGACACCGGTAGCAGCGCTGCGCAGCTCCGCCTCGCTGTTGCCATCGCCGCTCCCCCAGAAGATGGCGCCCAATGGTCGAGAGAGCTCATTCAATACCTTAAACCAGCGACCGTCGATCGACCAAGTCCTCTAGATGAAATGGTACGAGAATTGAACGATGTCATTAGCAGACATCCTCTTCGATTTAATGTTGTTTGCTTCTATGAGACCCAACACACCGACTTTTCTGCCGTTTTGAGGAAATTGCCCGATGGATTCCCACAGACAGAGATCGATAGAAACGGGCATGGGATTGTACAAGAACCCTTTCCAGGCTTTTAATGTGTTCAATTAGCTGACAAGAATACCTAGGTTGTGACGAGACATTCTGCCTCTCTTGGAGGTGCAGAGTTAGTCAGTCTAGATGTGCGGCATAATATGCTGCATAAATTCAATAGTCCAGACAACGACGGCTTCCAGCGCATGACCCGAAGGCTCAAAGATCTCACTGATAGGGCAGAGGAAATACTAGTGCAGAAAAGTAAATCCTCGATTTTCATTTCAGTACACGAATCCTCTCTCCTAATATAGCACTTCTTCGTCGTCGACTTGCAGAAATCAGGTGTTGGTGGCATCTCAAGCTGTCTCTGTGATATAGTCACTTCAAGAAGCCTTAGTATTTCTAATCTCTTGGGTTATCTTGTGCATCTGCACGAAATTTTGCGCAACTCATAGCTGGGATAGCAGGGCAAGCCTCGTTACGTGGTTGCTAATGACTTTCCCAGGTTTCTTCTCCAGTGTAAAAATCTTTCAGAATCCATCTCAAGCCGACTGGCCGCAATGTCAAAACGAAAGACCAGCCATGTCTGCTAAAAGACTGGTCCGTAATGACGTCCCTTCATGTCTCCAGAGTAGCAGCGTCATCTGGTCTGCGAAACACAATATCGAGCCTCGGATTGTTGTTGTGTATGGTCTCGCAGGAGTTGGGAAAAGTCATTTGTGTCTGGAATCAATCGCAGACAATGAGAAAAGGTTCATGGCTCGTAAAATAGTTTCTGCGTCTGCCCGCTAATACTGTATCAACCAGGTTTCACAGCGTCTTCTACCTCGATGCTAGCAATAGAGCATCCGCAGACACAAGCTATACGCAAATATCTCAGGTTTGCAATGTGCCAAGTGGGGGCGATGTCGACCTGGCAGACACAAATCGACTCACGAGGGCATGGCTAGCCGGTCGGAAGAATCCATGGCTTCTTATGATTGACAACGCGGATTCATCTGGAGTTTCCTTGAAAAATTACATACCAACAAAGGGTCCTGGTGTCGTGATCATAACAACCACGGACGAACGATTTGCTAATCTTAGCAAGACATTCTGCGAGGTAAAGCCCTTGGACAGGCAACAGGCCAAGAAACTGCTGCTACGCTACAAGAGAATCGACATGGAGCTGTGTGAGAATGAGTCCCAGGCTGCCGAGGTCCTTGCGGCAGATTTACTTGGTGGCTTGCCCTTGGCTATTGCCCAAGCTGGCTCTTATATCTTCAACAGGAGATGCAAGTTCACCGAATATTGCAAAAGCTTCACTGAGCCACCAACCCGGTCTCTCGACTACATTTCAGAACCAAAACAATGGCCCGGGTCTCAAAGAACTGTCTGGAAGACCTTCACCATATCAATCCGTCGGATCCAGGGTCTTTCCGAAATGGGAGCCGGCGTAGCAGTTGAGTTGTTGCGAACATTGAGCTTCCTCCATCACGAAGGAGTCCCAGGGCAGCTATTCCAGAAGGCTTGGGAGAACATGAGCACAGCACCGACGTGGGCACGCTATATGTCCTTACTCAACTCCAACAGTCCTCGCTGGGATACACTTGAGATTCGGGCGGCAATCAGCATACTGCTGCGGTACAGCCTCATGGCTTACAAGTCGCCACACAGCCATGAGTACTCAGTCCACAGGCTCGTGCATACTATCTGCAGAGAATCTTTGCCCAAGCCAGAACGAGAAAAGTACGGACTACGTGCTGTTTCTCTGCTAGCAGTTGCTATTTCATCAATACAGACGTCCTTGTCATGGATCGATGATCCTTCAGGATTCGAATTCCAAAAAGCAATGTTGCCACATATCCAGGCTTCTTTAAGGGGTCAAATAGGGTTGATACTTCAGGAACCTGATATTCAGGCCCTAGCAGCCAAAGCATTGATGATCTTGCGCCTTGTCAAATCATGCTCGGCTGCTGGATCTTTCTCAGACGCGCGAGCTCTTGCGATAGATATCTACGAAGTCTTGAGGCAGATGTCTGAAAAGAATGAAGACCTATGGGAACTTTTGCAAACGATAGAGCAGCAAACAGCAGAGCAGTTAGCAGCGTCTGAGGCCCATTTGGGAAATCATGATAGAGCCCTTGAGCTACGTATCATCATTCATGATCAGCTGATCAAAAGCGGTACTGAGGGAGAGAGCTCATGTGTGGCAATGATGAACATGGCTGGTAGCCAGTGGATGGTTGGACGAAAGCGAGAGGCTTTATCGACAGCTGGAGAGGTCATGAAACGTCGAGAAAGCGTTCTGGACCCGAAAGACCCACGCCTTCTTCGCACTCGACGCAAATTGGCTGAGTACATGCACGGGTTGAACAAGAAAAGAGAAGCCCTCAATCTTCGTCAAAAGATTCTACAGGACGCTGAGAAACAGGAACAAACGACCCTGGTTCAACGAATCGAATTTTTGGCGACCCAGAACGCAATGGCAGACAGCTATCAATGGGATGGTCAGCTTCACAAATCATTCAAACTACGGTCAGACGTTTATCGAGGAAGGCTTGACATATTAGGAGAAGAACACCCAGACACACTCGTAGCACAAGATAGGCTACTTGGCACTAGAACTTCCATGGCCCCGAACAACCAGGAGATGGAGGGTATCTGCCGAGAGAGGCAAAAACTTGTCGAAGCTTTCACCCGTGTTTACGGAAACTACCATCCATACACACTTGAAGCGAAAGTCAAATTAGGGTACTGCTATAGTAGTATTCGAGAACTCACGAGAGCGTCCAAGGAGCAAAACGATGTGCTCGAGGCACGGCAAGCTCAATTCGACGACAACAGGACATCAGCAAATTGCATGTACTATCTTTCGTCTATGGCCGCCGTTGCAAGATTAAGCCGTCCTTTGAAGGCCTTTGGAATCAGACGGGAGGCACTGTCCATTGCTCAACAAAATAAGGAGCTTGTATCCCAAGAAGCCATGTCGAAGATTCACAACGAATTCTTGACATCTTGGATGAAGAGCTCTAGTCGAGAACAAGGTCGCTTGTACATCCTAGGCAAGAGAAAGCAGTTATTAGCAGAGCAGAAGTCCCAAGGCGAAGATCTTGCAGCACTTTATACTCTGTCTTCGTTAGCCACAGATCTTTGCCACACTAGGTTCAAAGACAACGCTATCAAACAGCGTACTAAGCTGCTTGAAAAGCAATGCTCTTTAGTGGGAGAAGACAACCCCCGTACTTTGAGCAACAAGAAACGGCTTGCATTGCTTCTCTTTGGTGGCATACATGGGGACAACAGCAGCTATTCCCAATCAGGGCGGGAAAAGGCCCTGGAGCTTATGGAGCAAGCTGAAAGAGTCGAGACAAATTATTTAGGAAGTGCTCATTATCGTACGATTCGCACGAGGAAGAAGATTCTCACTATGTACAGATGTGCTGGTGAATTGGCGAAAGCTCGTGGATTGAGCGAAATCATGGGCTTGAGCCTTCAGAGCTTGGCCAGCACTGAAAACAACTTTCACCATCAGACCTCTAGCAGCATTACCGAGTCTGGCAGCTCACCGTGGTCAAGTGAGAGATTTTCGCTGGAACCGGGGTCAGAATCCTGTTCTGGTCCGGATTCATCTGCTTCTTCCACTGGGTGCTCAGAATCTTCTGGAAGTCTTCTTTCTGAGGATGATTCTCGACAATCAAAACCAGCCAAAACTCATCATGATCATGGCGCTGTTCCTCGACACTCCAGTCGAGCCGGTGCTCTCAGAAGGCCAAGGCCAATTGGATCTCGTCGTGATTATGACGACGATATGCGCCAATTCTTTCCATCGGTGTTTGGTACCGATAATATTTGGGGTCTGTCTGACGAAAGCTTTTCTGACGAAAGCTCGCCATCATCAGGAGTGCCGATTAATGGAACGAGAACCAATCTATTGGAGGGCTCCAAAGAGTACCATTGGGTCGTTTCGGTATTGCGAAAGGTCCGGCGTTTTGTCGCCGGCTGCGTCAATTTGCTGAGCAAGGTCAAGCCACGTTGCCGTAAACGCAGTATCTTGCTGCAGGGACCATAAAAAGGACGTCCGGTACATTCCATACACGCAGCACCAAAAGGAGCCAAGTAACGAGGAATCTCACCAGCCACAATTAAATTGATGTCTTCCGGCGAGAAGAGTCTCAAGATGGAACAGCCAAGCAGCACGATAGTCATGTCTGATGTCAAAATACTTCCTAAATAGAGTATTAAGTATGGATAGCTCCGTTAAGTGCACCTCATAGCCGGCCGCTGGATATTCCACGCGCGCTTCTCTAGTTGCTAGCTCTGCAGACATTGACTCTGACACACGCTGGGGATAAGTCTGATCAAAAGGTGCAATTGCCTCTTGAACAGGCAGGGCAAACGACAAAAAGGCTAATAATAGGACCAAAATATCAAAAAGGCTGATGACGATCTAATAGAATATGCGAAAGAAGGTCCATACCGACTAACGAAGGTAGCGAATCGGTTCGAATAACCTTAACTTGGGATCATGATCATCCCCAAACCCCCAACCACTCAAGACGGCATCCAACCCCTCTGCCCAGCGGACCCTCCCGCAGCCACGGCGCCCCACATCGTGCAGCCTTCAACGATCCCGGATTGGCTGACTACGCTGCACTCCGACCATGTGAAGTCACACAGCCACAGCCACCTTCGCGCTCAGCCACGCTACGTCACCTATCACTTAGAAGCTCTTGGCAATACCACCACCACCAGGTTTTGGACGAGAGAGAGGCCGCTCATTGTGCCACCACAACCAAGGACGCAAGCGAGCTTGTCATTCTGTCAGTTTCTCCCCTTTGGCTCCCTCGTCACACGCTACGCAGGACAGGAAGAAGGTATATATGCCGCCCGTTTCTTCTTGGCTCCTCCATCGATTGACACTCTTCAAGCAAGTCTGAACTTCCGTACTTCACCACAACAAGCTTTCCTGCAAACCAACCGTCTACCAGCAAATCCAAAAACGTACGTTCCTCACCTGCGAACGCTTGAGCCCCCTCCTAGAAGCTCGGACTGACATACTCTCTACCAGAAAACCCACCAACGCACCTCCAACATGCCTTTCTTCTACTCCAAGCCCATCGGCGGCAAGAACTTCGGCACGAGCGTCCACGCAGACCGCCACGGCATCCGCCGCGGACCTTGGCGCTTCCGCATCGGTCGCTTCAACTGCTTCAGGTAGAGGCGACGCAGCTATGAAGTGTGCGTGTCGTTGCCCTGAAAGCGCGACCGCTACCACGACCAGGTCTGGGACCTGCCTACCTACTTCTTACCTCCTGATTTCCCCAGACGACAGTCTTGGGATGATGGACGAACGACTTTACCTTTTATGAGATCATGGATACCGGCGTTTTGCTTTATGAGCCCTTTGGGTTGGGAGTGCGAGCGTTTCCTGACTTGTCTGTCCTTATTGGGTCACCGCCGTTGCGACTGGATTGGCCGTGATGGCTTTGGGTGGAACGACGAGAGTCGTGCCTAGGTAGATAATGAATACTTTTCTTCATTGATAGCATAATGGTTGGGCGATGTCTTGATTTGGTAGGCCCCCCTGGCCATGAGATAGGACCGGAATTTGGGGATCGCATGATTTGACAACCAGCCTCAATAACGACACTACCTTCCAGCTCACGATGTGACACCCTGGTGGGAAGCATGCCTCAATATAGTTCGCAGAAGTTGGAGTACGTGTAGCCAACCGTTAACGAACTCGGAAGTCTTCTATCTTACGGCCCCGGCTCGACTGTTGATGCTTGACGAGGAAGTCAATGACAGACATGTCCAGAGGAAACACAAGGCATTCAGCTTAACGTGAGAGCCATCTCGCGAAATGCCAGAGGTATGAAGACATGGCGTTGGAAGACACCCATCTGGCAGACACCCCAGATGTCTCCTCAGCCGAAAGGCCGACTTGTCACTGCGCATGGAAGCTGGCAAACATGATCCTCGTAGAACAACCAACCAACTGGGAAGGTGGTGACATTTTCGAATTGAGCGTAAGAATCTTGTTTTCCATGCCGTCTAACGCCATTATGAAGTACCAAAATGTCCCGAACCACCCTCGAAGCCGGAGGACACGCCAGGCAATGCATCAAGGTCGTTTGGCTCTGTTTGACAAATTTGCTGCGTTTTTTTCTTTTGTATTCATTCCTAGCATAACGGTAAACCGATTTGCCATGCCAGGTCTCGCAGCAGAACCCTCCTGAATCATCGCAGTGTTGTAGACCGTTATCCGATGCAAAGTTCTTTTGTTTTATTCCTCTTTTTGTTCCCCGTTATATCCCTGGAGAAGCAAAAGATAAGAATACCGAGAGGGGTAGAGAGCACACCAACGCAAAGTGTAAACCGTAAACCCTTTTCCCCCTCGTCGACCCACGCGCCCCTTTCCCCCAGAATGGATTTGCTATGTTCCACAGAAAAGACAGGACCTCTTCCGAACGACCAAAACGGAGTATTCTTCCGCTTAGACCTCGGTGGTGACCTTGGCCTTGGGGTTGGTGACCTTGACGCCGAGCTGCTTGGCGCGGGAGATGATGTCGATGCGCTTTCTCGAGGAGACGTTGTGGGCGATCCTGAAAACCGTGTTAGAAGTCACTGTCCATGAGAGACGCAAAGTCGGTCATCGTTGGGGGTTGGGTGGTACGCACTCGGCAGCGTAGGTGCGGTTGTGCATCAGCAGCAGGTTGACGTCGTTGACGTTGCTGACGAGGAAGGCCTTGTGGCCGGAGGGCATCATGTACTTGGTCTTCTTGTTGGAGCCGAAACCGATCTGAAGTGCGAGAGAGTCCTGGTCAGCGATTGTCCTCGAGGAAAGGGACCCTCCATTGTCTCCCAAGTTGGACCTTCCAACATTCCCCCTCTTCCAGAATTTCTGTCTTCCTCCGCGGGGTTGGGTGCTGAACGTACCGAGGGCATGGTCATGTTGCCACGGAAGCGACGGCGAACACGGTTGTCAATACCCTTGGGCTTGCGCCATGATCGGTCAACGCGCATAAAGCGGTCGCTCTGGTGGCGGTTGAAGAGCTTCGTGCCTGTAAAAACACACCCGTCAATCGTCTCGTTCCAATCCAAAGGTCTCGCATGTGTCTCGTGTGACGGTCTTCATCGTCGCGTTGTGTTCTCGGCGAGGGGTGTATCGGATGGGCTGGTTGCGTTCTGGGAGGAGGAAGGACATACGCTTCTTCACGATAGGGACGTGCTTCTTTGCGGCGACCATCTTGAACGAGAAAAAATGTCAGTATGAAATTACGACGGCGACAATTATTGCAATTGTCGATAGAAGAGCAGGGCGACTCGATTCTCACCTTGACGGTTGTTCCAGGCTGTGGTTAGTCGGGGTGGGTAGTGGTCGTCGGGAACTTCGAATATCGAAATTTTTTGCTGGCGTACCGGTCGATTTCGAGTTGCGCTTGCAGTGCGAGAGTCCAGCCCTAACGAAAAAGTTGGCGACTCTAGTCACGTGGTGTGTATCATGCACGGGCCATCAGCACGGCCAAATGAACACTGTAAGCCCCACCACCTCGACGCCGCCAAGGTACTCGCCGAAGCACCGCACTAAAAATGGTGCTCCGCTGCGAAGTCAGTTCGTCTCTACTCGCTGCATCATGAACACTGGTCAATGTTGAGGCAAAACAGAACCCCTATTTTTCCTATGCTAGAGCGACTAATTTTCCTGTGTTTTCGCTATCGTTGTTGCTAGTCAAGTCGCTGTTATTATTGCTGCTATATCTGCTACTGTCGTTACTACTGTTGTCGATGTCTACCACCACCGTCTGTCGTCGTCCTCATCAAACCGTCCTTGAGACAAAACAAATAGGTTTGCGAAGGGCAAAAGGTGAAGTTCCCACTACGAGGTTCGAACTCGTGTCTCCTCGGTGATTCACATAGAATGAAAGCGAGGTATGCTAACCACTACACTAAATGGGACGAGGAACTAAACTCGGCCGCATGCGGCTCTGGAGTGTTGGTTGCGAAAGGTAGAAGCCAAGATGCTTATACCCCTTTGACGTGAGCTTTGGTAAAGAGTGGCAACGGGGCACGTCCGTTGCTTGTTTGAGTCACCGCCGGCACACATCGCCATCAAGGTTGAGAAAAGACATGGTACCCGTGATCCGTGGGGCACCGTTCATTCATGAAGGGGGGTGATGCCCAAGCTAACAACAAGCTACAAAACTCCTCTCCAGATCCCGTGTCTATGCTTCACCCTTCACCATCCGGGGTTGTCATCATGTCTGTCATGAAACGTAGGGCATCGTGCCCCAAGACTCTGTCTTCTAAAAGTCTCTATATGTTGCCGTCTTACTGCGGTTGGCACTGGGGCTGGCCATCCTCCTCGTCCTCGTCCTCCCACTCGCCTCCGAATCCTGGTCCGCCTGCGTTTCCGCCCATCTGAAGAGGATTTGTTAGCGCGTGTTGCCAGCATCACAGGAACGATTAA